CCATCGCGCTAAAAATATGAAAAAAATTGAAATTGCGTTTAGGAAGTGCGTTCACGAGAAAATTGAAAAATAAAGTGGAACAGAAGCAAAAACTTTTTCGATCCAACTATGATATGATTTTATATTACGCGCAGGATCAAAATTGTAGGAATACAAAAAAATTTTGAAATTTAATTTTGTTTATTTGCGCATGATACAAAATACAGTTATGATTGAGTTTTTATATTTTTTCGAATAAACCTCGTGAAATTAATTTTTCAATTGTGGAATCCGAATTGCGGAATAGCATCGCCCTTTTATCCAGAAGAGTGAGAAAACAGGAGATACGCGAGACGGTTAACTCTAAATTTCATGACTTGATTTTTTTTTCATTACGACGATGGCATAGCGACCTACATTCTTCTGTGACTGTTGTTCGCTATTCTGAGCGATATGTCATCAGACGCTTAAGCCGTCTCCTCGAATTTATACTTAATCAGAATTTCCACAATCCCTCAAATGTTATTTCGATTACGGCGATTCTCCTAATGGGATTGGAATATCTTGTCTCATTCTTCACGTATGATAGCATCTTTGCCAGATATAATACGTCATTTGTTACCATTTTCTTAGCTTAGGTTGGTTTCTTTGGAAACCACCAGCATTTCATATAATTCAAGACAACTGATAAAAATTATAGAAGATAAAAACACTACATTAGAGTACAAGGCCACAAATGTCGTTGTCGACGAATTTGAAGTGTAGTTACATTAGTTGAATACAAAATTTATGGCCGGGTGTTCTGTAATATTTCATATCATTCATGCATGCATATCGAGATATGCAGCGTGGCATAAACTTTCATAATAATAATTTAATCTACCCGTGGAGAATCTCCAGGGATGCCCAATAATATTAGATTTGACAATATTAAGAAGGATTATCTCCTTATATTGTTCAAAGTTTAACTATATTCAAGAAATTTAAAATACTATGAAATTTAATAATTAAATTTTCCGATTCATGGTGAATAATATATTTGATAATATTGATATGTATTTTTTAGTTAACAAGCTAATTCTAAATTTAGGTACTTAATTTTCGATTATCCAAATAATCGTCAATCTTCCTACCTAAATTACTGGTTAATAGAATATTTCAAAATTTGAATGTACAAATTGATGGTTAATTTAATATTTAAAATTTTTAAAATTTATGTTAATAATTGACAACTTTACAATTTAACAGTATTTATCTCACCGCTCCATCTCTGCTTTCTATACACGGAGAGAAAACCAGTAGAGTTCTCAAACAAATCTTACTCGTGCCAAAAAAATCATTTGTTAAAAATTATCAAAAAAGTACTTTTTGTACCAAACATGCGAAGCGTGCGTCGAGACTGAAAATTTTTATTGTAAAATATAGATTTAGTCTTTTCTACTTCTTCCTTTTTCGATATTTCCATACGTATTTTGCTCCCGACAAATGCTCGTTTTATATGAAGCAAGGGACAGTAGTTTGTCGTTTCGGCTATTCGATAATTACAGACAAAAAGGAATTGTTAAATGAAATGATAATAATGATGACAGCAATCTTGTAACTTAAAGACAAAGTATTTCTTGATAAACTTCCCTCTATAAAAGATATTTTTGTCCTCAAAAGGCGCCGTCTTGTACGAACGATCCGCTTCTTGAGCTAAGGCCCGGTTGCACCACCCCCTGTTAGCTGTTTTTACCCCCGGGATAAATTTATCCATGTGTAATCCTTATGGACTAACAGACGTTATCTCGCGGTTTCGTTAACAGACGATGGTGCAACCGGGCCTAAATAAGGTAAATGTACTTATACTCGTCCCTGTCTCTATGCTCGTTCAGATGTGAGCTTGACGTGAGCTATCGCATTTTAATCATTTTGACAGTCCCAAGAGTCTATCAAGATTGAATTACGATTGGAGTTATTATTTTAGTTAATAAGGAGAGTTATAGACACCAATGAACAGTGATTTATTGAAGAATAAAAGATAAAAATCCCATCCATATCAACTGGTGCTACGATAGAGTGAGTTCTTAAGCCGCAAGTTAAGAAACTCACAATTTTAAAATGTTGATATCTCCGTTATAATAGTGAAATGGAATTGAAAATCCCTTGACTGAGGTTTCGGATGGTTAAAAAACAATAAAAATGCACAAATTATAGTAATATCTTAATATTTCACAGAAATTTCGGCAATTAAAAGAATAGGTACAACGGAAAAGGCATTGATCCTATGCTCGTTTTGCAACCAACTGTCAACTGGTAACGGACTAAACGGATGAAAAAACCATTTAAAAGGTTGGACTGTCCAATTGAAATATTTAAATTTTTATTGAAATATTAAAATTTTTTGCCTCGAGATATTTTTTAATGTTGTTCTATCCCAAATAAGATACGATGTAATTAGTTCGGATTTAACCTTTCCATATCATTCAAATCACGAGACGAGGATAGGGACATGGGACTTTCCACGTTTATGAAGGATTATTTATTAAAAAATGGTAATTATCATGATTAATATAAGTGAATTCTAATTCTTAAGTTTTTACTTTCTGATATTTAATTTAAAATATCGCATCTTTACACTCATTTCAATAGAAATATTGGACTAATGATGTGAGAGCAGAACAGTAATTCATGGTTGAGACTTTCAAATTCGAACAAAACAATGTTTTAATTTTTTGTAATTTTCAACTAACGATACTGTTGGCCCAAACAAGACTTGTTTAAGAACTTGGTCGTTTTTCTCTCATTGTACAGTCAAGCCGGAGCTGAGCGGTCGGTTCGAGCGCGTAGCGGAGTTTCAGCCGCAGCTCCGATTGAATTTCTACGGGTAACGATGAGTCAATTTAGAAAAAAAATTAATTTTTTTTTTTAATTTTTCAAATATATATATGTCAATATGTAATTGTTATCACTATTAACTCCATTGTTAATTTTCATCCAGTCATCATTATTATCAACAACAATTCTTATCTATACTAAACAACTGAATTGATTGTGTAATAATACTAATTTCGAGCAAATATAAATCGCCTGGTGGAGATAATGAAGCAAACTCAATAAAATCATTCAAGAGAATTCGATTGATAAACGTCAATCCCATCGTTCAGGAAGAATGTAACACAGTAGGATGCCATGTACAGTATTGGAGGGCGTCGGCATGGGGAATCGTAAGGGCTGTAATAGACCTGGTGACGTCAGGATCGTCATGGCAACTCCCCATTATTATTCCCACAATGTCCACTCGGTTGATGATTGCAGGGGTTCATTCACGTGGTGACGGAAGGGAATGATGAGCGATTGAATACGTAATATTCATTAAACACATTTAGCTATCAAAAAGTGAAATGGTAGTGCTATTTTACGACATTGTAGAAGCACGAGTGCATGGCCCCTCGACTGTTACCACAATAGCATTGTTAATGATAGATCCTTCACAGAGAAACGTTTTTCGTTTTCAGCACCGCGGTACTGAAATGCAGAATCATGGTACTGGAATTAAGAATCCTAGGTTCTTAAAATAAGAACCGTTAAGGGCATTTAAATACAGTAGAGACTCCTTAGTTTTTTCGATTCGGGAGATGTCTTGAAGCGCTTTCACGTGAAAACGGAATAACGTCATTTTTACCAATGCGTTTTTCGGAAGGGCAATAGGGAAGGGAAGGCGATATGGGTACAGATGCAAAATGACCGTCATTTTTTGATCATATGACGCGATCTAAAAAATTACGGTCATGTAACGCAGAAACTTTCCAATTGAAAATGATGGTCACAAATAATTTGTATGCAAATTGATGTCAAACCATTGATATAGATGCATAATGACGATCATAATTAATTTCAAGTTCGTGACGGACATAAACGTATAACTTATCTTTAAACCTTATCCAATGAATTACCTCTGCAATTTCTAATTCCTTAAATTCTCCATTGATCAACCCTACATTGGTCACCCTATGAGGGAAATCCCCCCGCGCATCGTTTTTCTGCAATTACAATTGACTGGCTAGCCGGAAAAATTCAAAAAAATTTGCCTTTATCAATTGAAGTGTCTAAAAAAGTATAGCAGTTTTTAGAACAAGATATCCCCCAAAAATTCCTAAACAAAACGAATTAATTCGAACAGATGAATTATTTTTTCCCATGTTAAATGAAATTGCCCATGACGCGACGTTACCGGAAACTCGCTAAACGCGCCCGGGCAGTGTAGAGTGAATTCGGCAACCCTAGAGCCTAAATAACACGGCGGCGAATCCCCGCAGCGGTGACCAAAATCGTTTGGACGCGTTTGGTGGCCAGACTAGGGTTAAATTGGTTAAATTCTCGCTCCGCCCGTTGCGAGAGAGTCTCTGTCGACCCCTCGAGCAACAGTGTTGCTACATTCACTGTCACACTTGAGATGCGCGCATAGCGGTAAGCGCCAAGACGGCAACAGTGCCCTCGGTTTAACCCAGCGGCGCTGCGCTAACGGTGCGACGGATGATGGCTGGCGGCCAAGCGCGAGTGATCGAGAGTTAAGTACGATAATGGGTACTGGATTTCCGTAAAAATGACTAAGGACTAGAACTTTTTCTCTGATTCTCAGAGAAATTTTGCCAGTTTTATCCACAGTACTTTTCGTCTCTAGATTTCAGCACCACGGATTACTGAAATCCAGAGATTGTTCCTGATAACCAGAAACTTTTTCTCTGTGTCCATTTATGGGAATATCTAATGTGAAAATTTGAACAGGATAAAAATTGAAAGTGAATGCAGAGGCGTTGATCATTTTATCCTAAAGTTATCAGTAAGAATTGCGGATCGCGTGGGAATTCTATTTAGAAAACGGCTCACCCACCTCCACTGAGAATCACGTTGTGGCCCACGCAAACCACTCGACGTGTATTTTTAAATTAATTTTCGTAACAATGTAATTTGCCGTATCGAAAATAGCGCTTTGAACCTTGAAAAAATATATATTGTGGTTCATCACGTGATCCTGGTACATTATATTTTTATCTTAGTACATTATATTTTTATGAATCATAGTAACACGTTTATTTTTTTTTACAACGTTAGGAAACACTTTGAAAAGCTGTAAGAAACGTCCCAGAGTTATGATGCATCGAGTTATAATACTCCCGAATTTGTATTGCTATTAAAATACTGATGGAGGGAGATCTTTATCTCACTGACCCATGTTAGACTCTGTTTAAAAATTGAACGCTATTTTCAGATGATTTCTAATCAGGACTGAGATGGTAGATCTGTCACGTCCATCGTACTCCACATTCTGTTGAATTCGGATGAAAATACACGGACTAATTCTGTTTGATTCGTTATCAGGCTAGCGTCATAGTTGCCGAAGAATGCTTGCATAGTCCAATTTGAACTGCCAAGGATCATTAATTCTTCGTCTATTATGGCGAATTTGTGGTGCATAAGACTGACTGTGGAACGATGCATACGGATTTTTATTCCTAAAAATAAAATGAGTATTATTGTATTTGATTAGTCGTTTATCTCGTGTCAAGTTATCATTGTCTTTTCTCTTCATTCCTATTTTCTTCGTTCTATTTATTGTCAGATAAATCGAGGATTGAATTTACTCATGGAATAGGAAATTCGATTCATGTCTGTATTTTAAGCCAACGGTTCAGAAATTCCATAATTCATACATGTTCTGAAAATATACCTGCTCGTCTGATACGAGTTAATTGAGTGGAGCAACCACTGGTCTCTGACATTCCTGAGTCTACAATCAACCTGATGGTGATATCTCTTTTATGCGCTCGAATAATTGCGTCTGAGATGTCTTTATATGTGAGAATGTAGATGCAGACGTCCAATGTTTTTTTGGCAGAGTCAAAAAAGTGTACTAACTTTCTGGAAGAATAAAAAAAAACGAATCCATTGAAATTCAATCAAAAATTTCATGCCCTTTTTGATTACGTGACTTTAAGATATATTCCAGGGCAATACCACCCAAAAGTTAGCCCCTATGGATTTCCGGAGAAAATTCTAAATGACTTAATCTATTACATTTTCATAAGTTATTGAGTTTTTCTACCCTCATATCTTGTTGATGTAGGCAACCATAACTAATGGAATAAAATAAGAAATGATTAATTGTTTGAATCAAATAAGCAATGCTTTCACGAAATTTTCATTTTTGCTTCCGCATGGAAGCCTTGTTTTTGATAGATTTTTTGATTTCCGAATTGTGATTGCAAATGATCTAGAATGTTATAAAACGTGAAGAAATGATGTTTTTAGAGTCATGTCTGTATGTATGTATCCAGCAACTTGGGTTTTTGGTGATTAATTTTTAGAAAATTCAACATAAATACGGCGAAATTTGTAGATAAAAATTTGAAATTTTGGCTCATTGTAGCTAAATTATTGAGCTCAACTTTGATGCGCTGTTTCAGCCCGATCGGTTTTGTAGTTCTTGAGATATAACAATTGTTTAAATTTTGTTTTTCCTCAATATCTCAAAAACTACTGCACCGATTTTAAATTTTTTTTCAAAATACTCGTCTCGATGGCCTCTATGTAGGTCAATAAAAATATTTAAACTCTTTAATACGCAGTTTAGAGATATTACCGTTTAACCGTTTTTTATGAAAAATCTTGTACGCACGATAACGAGAAAAATGGAGATAGTTGAAATTTGGTGTGGTTATGGCTCTTATAATATTAAAGGTTGGTATTTTGGATGGGCGTAATCGGCCAAGCGGTTCCCGAGACATGCAACCTTTTGTGTAAATATATTTCTTCAAATACCTCTTGAACTACTTGACAGATTTCAATTTTTTTTTCAAAATACGCGGCTCAGCAGCCACTATCTGGCTCAATCAAAATATTTATATCGTTTCATACAAAGTTTTCGGGATATCCCCGTTTTTCCGTTTTTTAAATTTTTTCATTCTTCTGCGCACGATAACTTAAGAAAAAATGGAAATAACAAATTGAAATTTGGTATGATTATAGGTCTTACAATACTGAAGGTTGGTATTTTGGATAGGCGCAACCAGCCGAATAGTTTCCGAGGTATTTAACCTATTGTATAAATATTTTTCATTAAAAGGTTGAATATTTTTCTAAAGACCGGCAGCACGTGGTTACGGTTGTATGCCTGTCACAAGAATAGGAAATTATTACGGATTCATTCGGAAGCTTGCTACCAATGGAATGGGCAGAAATAAAACAAAAAAGAAACTCATGCCGCAAAAAATAAAGTCACATGCCTTCTGTCGGATAGGCTCGAACCCCTGTTTGTTTAGAGTTGAATATCGCAGAAACTATGTAGTATAAAATTTTGTAAAAAAATTCACCGTATTCCAAATTTATCAATCTATCACGAATTAGTTTTTTCATCCATGTTAAGAAGGATTCGAACAAAAAATGGTCAAATTACTTAGATATCCCCAAGTTAACTATGAAGGTGAATTGAACTTCGAATGAATCTGAAATTCATGCATAAAAATTGCTATAAAATTCAAATTACAATTGTGATTTGAAATTCAAAGTGAAGATGACGATCAATGCATCAGTGCGCTCATATAAAAATAGGAGAGACTATTCTTCTAATGCATAAAATTCGGCATGAAATCTCCTAGAAATCCATTCAAGGCACATCATTTCATTGCCTTTCTGCTGATATGATTGCCATTGCAGTCGACAAATAATGAATTTGGTTACAAATTTTGAATAGTAAAAGCAAAAATTCATTACTTGATGTTTCTCCCAGGGCAATGTGGTATCTCACAAGATACCTGTCTCATTGCGTGCTCTCGACATTGAGCACTTTCACAATTGAAGATTAGTGCTTCAGTAATTGTCTCATTGTTACTGTTTCCATTTTTGCGAAAGTATTTTTTCCACAATTGCCATGCCACTTCAGTTCCGAGAGAAAATATTAGAAAACCAACTCCAAACGTTAGAGCATTTGTCATGATGAATACAATATTAAAAGCAATGTTGAAGGACTCTAAATAATTGGTTCCGAGGAAACAGGTTGGAAAATCGCCGGTATCAACAAAAACTGGGAGACCAACCATTTGGCGAAAGAGAGAGAACTATCAGCATTGATAGCCCCGTTACGTTACTTTTCCGAACTCGAATATTAAATCGCTTTTACCGACATGTGTTAAAAACAGTTGTAACCATATGTCGGAATGATCGCCTTCGGTCGGAAATTGAATAGAAAGATTTCGGAAAAATAATTGCAATGATTAAAGAATAATACATATTGCTAATTCAAAGTTCCCAGAGAAAGAGAAAGTTTCTAGTTTCCAGAGTATTCCTCTAGGCCAGTCATTCCCGGATGGTCCACGTCCATTTCAAAATATTACAATCATGGTGAATTATGAGATTATTATGCTACATATGACCTTGAATGAACACCCTTCATTATTTTTCAATTTTCTCAAATTGAGATTTTCTTACGTAAAATAATTTGGCATAATTCTAAATGTTAATAATTGTCAATGGAGTTCATTCCAGGTCATATGTAGAATAATCATCCCATAATTCAACATAATTATAACATTTGGAGATGGACTTGGACGACTGGAATGACCGGCCTGGAGAAATTAGCTCCTAAAAAATTAAATTCTTCTCCCAAGAAAATAATTTCTTGGCCAAAGTAATTTTTTTCTCCGTGTGGGTTTAGAAGGCATTATATTGCGAGTAAGGAACTAGTTACTTAATTTCAGAAGCAAAATGCCTCAAATTCAGTACCAAAAACTTACTCATTTCAAACGAGAAAAGTTCTTAAATCCTGAACCATTAGTAAGAATTCTGAGACTGAGAACATTTGAAGGGGATAACATTCTGAAAAAGTGAACTTTAATTCACCATTAATTGTGTCCAGATATCAGATGATAGTATTATTCATAACAAAATAATTTATGAACATGAATAGATTAATTTTCCACTAGAACAGATAATAAATTCAAGAACGAAAATGTTCTTGATTGAAGAATCTCAATGTTTTTATTTTAACAACTCAAAAGCAGTGAATTTTAGAACCAAGCTTTTCCTTAAAATAAGAGAAACATTCAAAGACAATCATACTAGATTTAAGTAAGAACAGCACCGAGTTCTGAAATTCCGAGATTTTCACTCGAAACTAAAAACTTTTTTCTCTGTATTATGCAGGAATTAAAAAAACGTAAAAATTAGGGAAAAACAAAAATGCTAAATAAACTGAGCAATAATTCAGAAGGGCATCATCAGTCATATTTCATGAAATACGTTATACATTCAGTACCAAAAGAAACAGAAAACAATTCGATATTACAGAGAATAATGTGCGCTTATAAATGCTGAGTGGCGTAAGCCATAATAATTGAACTGACGAGAAAAAATATAAAACCTTCACTTCGATATTTTTTCCTCTAAACGACAGTCAGAGGAGGTCTGTGGACAATTCTGCCCATAATTCCAGTCTTTATGCTGATTGACAGGTGCTCAACCGAGGTTGCACAATTCCCTTGTTGCATTAACATGTTGTACCAATGTTTTTTCATTTTGACATTCAGCCTGCAATGGCCACGTTTCACGTGCATGTGACAATAATAGTATCTATACTTATTCATATCGATAACATGTTGATACCAATCAATTTTTCATTTATAATCGCAATTTTTCTGAATATTAATACTAGGAAATTTCGTCAATTACCATTCTACATAATGTACAATATACATTTATCTTTGGTTCTCGTCAATAATACTTCTCTATTTGTATACAGTAATTGATTCAAATTCCAAGGTCCAAATGGTGGTATGATCACGAAAAAAATTTATTTTTACACGTTCATAGACCTGATAATATACTTTCTATGTTTACCATTAATTGTTAATATAATTTAGAACGAATTTCAGAGAAAAATTCTGATTCACATTACACTGGCAGTATTCGAACACAAAATTATCCCCCACTTATTCCCCAATATTTGCGTCGAATTTTCTCACTCCAATTATATTCTTACTCACAGCTAACAACAGATTTTCTAAACAAAAACAGGATGTAAAAATCTGCTAATCCGCCAACGTAGATTAAACAATTTCTTTCACTTGAAGAAAAAAATCTCCATCACTAGAAAATCTAGTGCACGTGATATGCTGTCATGACTCGACGAATTAATCATTCATTAAACTACACAGGAAGATCTGTGTTTCGTCAGTCATTAAATTACACTGTGAAGAGCTATAGTATTGACATAACGATAATGGCCCATCGTGTGTAATGAAGCATTCTGACTTACGATTAAAGTAATTAATACAATGATTTAAAAACTAAGCAGTAATTAATAATAGTTTAGAGATAAAATGGGCATTGTGATAATGCCTCAGAAGCATACAGTTTTCTCCTCAGATAGCCTCGTTTTCTCTGCCCCCTTTTTCCCAATTTTTCTTGTATTCATCAGTGAATTCAAGTATCAAAGTGGCAGTTATCATCAGTTCGGCAGCATTGGCCCCCATTCTTATTCTGAGATTGGGAGGACCATCATTACGATATACCGATACGACCAAACTGTTTCAACTTCGAATGCAACAGCCGCGCTGCTTTGGTAATCATGCTGCTAGCAGGTTCTTGATATTTTTCGGTGTATTCTCCTCGTTCAAGTGTTTTGTTGTGTAACGAAGGGCATTCAATAAGCCCTCACTTCTGCAGGGCGGCTGATCCTTCAAAAGCTTTACGCATCCCTTCACATCCACGTTTGAACCCTTGACAAAAGCTCCTTGAGGATGTACGTGGTCGTAAAGTATCACTAAACCCACCATCACACGGAGGACGAATAGTTGAGTCTCCTCCCGTTGAAATTGTGCCAAGAGATTTCTGTTGAATTGAATTATTCATTAGATTTATACTTCACTTTTTCTCTCCTGAGAGGAATAAGTTCGGTTTCTCAAGGAGATACACTACTGGGTGTTTAAAGTTCTGCAATTAATAAATGATTTGAGGGCTCTATATGAGTCAATAGATGTTTTTGCAGGAGACTGTACATGTGCAATTTCAATTGCAAAACTTTTACCTCAGTAGTAATAATACTGACGTTTTTTAAAATCAAAGCTCATTGATCTCCAGGAGGCGATGATAAAGACCAATGTGCTTTGGGTCAGGGGTGGCCATCAATCTTCCGATTAAGATTTAAATATACTAATCAAAATTAAAAAATTCCAAAATAATTGATAATCTAAATTTCCATTTGATGATGAATTAAACATTTTATAATATGGAACTGTGAATTTTTTTAAAAGTAAATAATACTAAATTTCTTACAAGGAATTTTCGATTATCCAAATAATCGTCAATCTTCCTAATTAAATTACTGATTAATACACCATTCGGAATTTGAATGATTAAATTGACGATTGCTTCAATTAATTAAAATTTAAGAGTGATATTAACGAATTGACTGTTTAATAATTTAACGGTAATTATTCGTGTCGGTCAAAGTCGCCAAGTTAATTTAACGATAATTATAATTTATGGATACGGCTATCCCTGCTTTGGGTTCGAAAAATAATAATAACTTGAGCAGGAAATTTATTTGAAAATATCGAGGAAACGGTGGCCCTCTGTTACCCCTTAAATAAGTCCTAGCTCCATGAAATAATGTTTGGGAAATATTTAAGCTCATAGTCTCAAATGGACATAAAATGGACAAGGTCTAAAAATAGAATGTTCGAACTCCTGACGTCAAAATTAGTTATCCTGATACAAAAAATTGGAAATGTCAAATTTGACGGATACAATCATTTCATTTGGAAGCAAAAAGCGTAGAGATTTTGTTGAACAATTACATATTCAATTATTCAAAATGTTTCCTCGCAGTTAAAAGATACTGTCTTCTGATTCGTTGTGAACTTGGAACTGAAGCGGTTATTGAGAATAGTGGGATTTCGCCCATTTTTTGTGATAAGTGCACGATGTTTGATGGCAAAGGATTTTGTCTCAATCTAAATTGTAGAGGTGTATGTAGAATATTCAACTTACGGATTCTCCAACATCCTCAAACATACTTTGGCCATTGTCCCAATAGTCTCTGTAATATTTTCCCTCGGTATATCCTGCCTCTGAAATTACAGGAATCATAAATTATTTTCACCCACGAAGCGTCACCTCTATCATTTTGATTGACCGATGAGTTTACACTGAAACCCATTTAGGAGAGGAATTGAGAATCGTGATGAGGCTTAATTAAGGCTTTTTACCTCCATCAAAAATGTTATGGTAGCGTGACTCAGCACTCGGAGCATGGGTGTGGCGTTGGCGTAGAATAAGGACATTCGATTGGCAAGTTCGTTACCAACCACCAGGTCACTCTCTGTATTGTCTTGTCTCACCAGTGATGCTCTTGTCAAGGTTCTGCGGTAGTAACTGAAGTCATTTTGTATCGCTGGGGTTTTCATCTTGTGCTCGTCGAATTTTAGAACAAATTCGAGAATCTCTGCCAGCTGTTTTACGAGGGCCTGCTGAGTTTCCAGGTGCTGTGTGGGTGAGAGATTGCCGGAACACAGTTGACCAAGAATCTTTGGCACCACTATTTCTGTGAATGAAGAGCGAATAGATTATGTGACCTGTGGAGATGTTCACTTGTTGATTCTGTGTGATTAATATTTTCTTAACAAGAATAAGCTTATGGATCTGAGCTGAATAAGCAGTCTCACGGTGTTACCTGAGTCTAGTTTCTTAGAATGGAGCTGTTAGACTGCTGCTATCATAGTCAGTGATGGCGATATGGTTCTATTAGGAATAAAACCGTGAGAATGATTATCAACGATCTTCTGACAAAATGTCCACTCCTGGTCAAAAATCGAGAAATTGTTTCGCGCGCATAACCGAACCCAATTCATTAACAGGGATGGCCAATAATATTAGATTTTGACATTATTAAGAAGGATTATCGCGTTCAAAGTTTTACTATATTTAAGAAATTTAAATTATTATAAAATTTAATAACTAAATTTTTCCGATTGATGGTGAATAAAATATTTGATAGTGTTGAAATGTAATTTTTTAGTTAACAAGCTGATTCTAAATTTGGGTATTCTTGATTTTCGATTATCCAAATAATCGTCAATCTTTCTACCTAAATTATTGGTTAATAGAATATTTCTAAATTTGAATGTACAAATTGATGGTTAATTTAATATTTAAAATTTTAAGATTTATGTTAAAAATTGACAACTTCACAATTTAACGGTAATTAAAACGGTAATGATTGATGAATATGCCTATCACTGTTCATTAATTCATGCACTTCATTAATTGTTCGATACATGGGAGACGGGCATTTTCAGCTTCTGCGATGGGCCTCGGATGCGCCTCGGTCGCCAACTTCACACTCGTAAAAATTCCGTCACACTCGTATCGAAATATACTATTTTGTCATAACGCTACGCGTCCGTGAGTCCCTGCCTTACGGCCGGAATGACAAAACATGGATTTTTTTCAAAATTTTCTACTCTGCCGTTCAACAGATATTGAACAATGACAATGAGCTTTGCGGCGATTCCCTCACACGGTGACTAATTTAGAGTCAACCCTAAATTAAATAGAGTTCGGTCGTCAACGAGAAATCCGTCCAACATTCATCTCAACAGGGCCTAGAGTTTAGGCGAACTCCCCGTGAGTCAAGCTGTAATATAAATCTAACTGAGCTGAGGGTCGACCAGGTGGCCCTAATGCGAGGAAGAAAAATAAGCAAATATCTAAAACGTCACAACGAGAAAAATTGTGAAAACGCATTGAACGGAATCTATTCAAGAAATATATCACGTACCTAGTTCCAAGGAAAATTCATAGAATCTCTTGAGCTTGGCAACCAGAGGTGCAACAGTCAGGTACGCTTTGCGCTGGCACTCTTCGGTGGGTGCTGAGATAGCTTCGCGAATCTCCTTGCCAGCTCCTTTGTAGCACTGTATCTCCTCGAGTATGGACTCGGAATTTTTCAAAACTCTTTGTACCGCCTCGAAAGTCTCTCGTTCATTGTCGGAGGGTTGAGCATCTGGAATTTTTCGAGGGAGAAGAATTACAACAAATTCGTCTGTTGACGCCTTCATTCTGATTCAGGAGGGAGAATGAATTATCTTCTCACTTTCAAAGTCGAGGAAGACATCGTATTTTTGGGGTGTGCAGCAGGTTGACTCATCGCGAGCCAAAAGGCTCAAGAGTTTACCCATTTTCTCTTCTTTTGCTTTAAAAAAAAAAGCAAATTTATCACGTGCAAGTTCCTTCACTGCTTCACTCACACCTGTCGATACATCTGCAAGTAGAAAATATTGATATTTCAATGTGTAACTCAGAACTGACGGAAAAAGTTTATGAAGAGTGAGTAACGTGTTTCTGGTAAAGCAGACGTGTCGGCTCTGAGACTCGGAACGAATTCGCACGTGAGATGAAGTATTAATTCAAGCTAAGCGTGTAGGGCAGCTGCACGATGGATAGGAAAGGGGAAAAAAGATAAATTCAACCAGTTGCCCTTCACCGGCACTCTATATCGTTAATAAACAGTTTTGATTAATGAATTCTTCGAATATGTTTATAGTTGTAGATTCAAGGGAATTGCACTACGTGACTCGATCTTTTTCTCGAATTTTATACTCCAGATCATTGAACGTGAAACAACATGACTGTTGATAGAGTGTACCTAACAAAGTATACCTAGAGCACGCAGAAAAAAAAGGGAAATTGAATCGTTAAATTGTTTCTACTCCACTCTCTCCGTAGAGATTCGTTATTGGATGGTCCTCGGGGCTCGTTGGGGCGAATTTTTCCAATAAACTGGAGGGCTACTCGGCAGTGGACCAAAAATTCGGGCCAACGATTTGCAATTGAATTGAGTTTCCGTAGAATGTGGGTCACTGCAGAGAATCCTTCGCACGCACAAACTTTAGCTCGAATTAGCATTAGCCCCTCATTACATATTAATGAGAAGAGTTCCATAAATGGAACATTTTAATTAACTTAGCCATCATCAATGTAACATATGATTATGAAGGAATAATTGGAAGGAATAATTTTTGGCGAAAATAAATATCGTGATAAATATAACAAATCTGTTGCCCATTCTTTGACCGCGATTCACGCAAAAACGACTGAATGGTTTTCAGTGGTATTTTTACTATTACATAGTTTAGGGTCCCCAATCCGCCTTAGGCTATAGTTATTGCGCTACGGTACATTGTTTAGTATGCATCGTAGAAATTTCTAGAAAATTCTAAAGCTTTTTGGAAAATTCTAGAATATTCTCGAGTTTTCGAGAATATTTTTACGATTTTCACAAAGTTTGAAGAAATTCTTAGGTTTTACAGAAAGTTCAAGAAAATTCTTTGGTTTTTAAGAAAATTGTAAGAAATGCTCGGGTTTTCTAAACAATTTGAAGAAATTTTTCGGTTTTCGAAAGTTTGAGAAAATTTTCAGTTTTACAGAAAATTTGAGGAAATTCTTTAGTTTCACACAAAATTCGAAACAACTCTTGCATTTCTAGAAAATTCTAGCAAATTCTCAGGTTTTATAGGAAATTAGAGAAAATTTTCGGGTTTTTTAGAAAATTGGAGAATCTTGTTTGGCTTTCTAGAAAATGCGGGAGAATTCTCGAGTTTTCAAAAAAAAATTTTTTTGTTCCCATTGTGCAATTTGATTTCAAATTTTGATTGACTAGCTGTTAGCTGTTAGCGGGCTTCGCCCGGGCAGAATGAGGGAAAATTGAATACCAGGATTTTTGAGAATTCCTGCAATTAAAAAAAACATCAATATTTTCGACTTTTCTGGAACATCCGACTTTTTTCTCAATTTCTTTGGAAAACCCACAAATTGTCTTGACTTCACAGGTGTTTTAGAAAAGTCGAAAACATTCAGGTGTTTTTTTTGTAGGAATTTCCAAATTCCGGTATTCAATCTTCTTTTATTCTGCCCGAGCGAAGTCGGGGCACCACAGATTGTGAAAATATAAATACTAAAAATAAAAATATTCAGCGAAAAAAACATTGGAAAGGGCAGGTGCAAAGGCCAAGGCAACACATCTGCCTCCTGATGTTATATCACACCGACGCTGAACGTGGAGACTTCCACTGGCATAGTTAAAATTGAAGAATAAAAGTGATGCACACTCACCCTCACCTTGCAACGACACAGGCCGATGCCCACCAACCCTCTTAGACGCGTCACATGCTACTGCTACTACTTAATAAACAGAAATGTAACGAGTCAACAAGTGGAACGATGATTTCCGTTTGACGCCAGGCGAGGCCATGATCCCTGTGTTCACGGCTGTTTGATGCTTGTGATGCTGGCGCGCGCGATTCTATTCCCTTATTTGGGCAACGGCGTCGGCGGTGGGATATCACGATTGGGGTGGTTGTCTAGGGATTGTGAGTGGTGGAAAAATCAATGAAATGCGTGGGGTTGCAACGGATAGATGGCAGGAGGGTGGAAAAGCCCGGGATATGGACTTGTGATTTTAAAAAACTGGAGATGAAAACATGTTTAAGGTGTTCCGTTCAAAAAACGTAAATGATGACATTCATCTGGTATTCATACGGGATATTTATAATCACGGTTGGAGAATCTGGGAATTTTTCTAGAATTATTCTAGACTTCCTTTTCAAGTTACCAGAGCGAACGCGCGCGCGCCCGTCTATCATCTCATTTACTTGTGAAGAGCTTCCTTTTCTTCATTCAAATTCCAAATGTATCAAATTTCATACACTCATAAATACATTATAAAAATTAATAATACATGGAAACACTGAATTATAAAGATGAATGGTAAGCGAAAAATTAATGAATAATTTTGAATCGTTGATCAATTCCCTTTCACTTTTTAAAGGGACCCGATCAGCATTTGTGATTGTTGAAAAAGAAGGGCACTGTTATAAATCGATTTTCTAAAAAACTGATCAAAGTTCTTGATTTTTCTCGAATGAAAAAAAAAAACATCCAGACGTTTTCCTAGAGTTTTAGAACCTATATCCAAGACAAAACATAAATCAGAATCTAATTCATGCCATTCGTGAAAGAAGGAAAATAGAAGGAATTCAAGTTAATGAGATTCATAAAAGTACATGATGAATGCATTCCTCGTCGATGAAAAATGGGGAAGTGTATTCTGCAGTGTTGAGGACAATTTGTATTTTTCACCTTTTACAGCTTCATGTTCCTCAGGGAAAATGGACAAGAATCAGAACATTTTTGATAGCGATTTTGTCGCCTTTAAATGATTTTCGTAGCGGTGGAGTAAATCAAAACGAGTCAAATAGGATATTTTTGTTAATTGGAGTTTTACATACGACAGGACATGAACAAAAGTTATCGTTTATGACAGAGGAGAGTTGAAAGATTAGAGTAAAATTTTTCGCTCGAAATTAATTGTCACATCAGAAATAATTAATGAATAGAAATATTCATAACTCAGCATAGCCTTTGTTGCTTATAAATTAGTTCTGTATTTTTCAAAAGGATTGAACTACATTTCTATCATATCATCACCTTTAATCATTAGAATTTTTCTTCAATTGAGGTGTTCCCAAAGAACACCATAATACACCTGATTACACACACATACGTAGGGCCCCGTTCTTGAAATGCTATATTGACATTCTGGACCTTTCTTGAATATTCTAGAACCTTGCATGAATTTTCGGTGAAACAGACATCTCAGATTATATAGAGTAAGATCTTCCAAAAGTATGATTGCCCTGTGACGTCACACACGCGGGTTATCGCCCCAGGTTCCTTTTTCGCGGGCAAAACTGAATTTTCAACTCCACTTTCTTAACAAACACGATAATTTTCCTTTTTGTACTCGAAAATGCGATGTAATGGTCAGATCCTAAGCTCATATACACTGTTAAAAATTTTTGTCTAAGATTTCCGGTATACTTTTTGGAAATTTTTATCAAATTCAATTACCACCAAAATTTCAAGTAATTTCGTGGTTAAAAATTCAGAATTTCGTGGAAAAATCAAACAGAACTGTAAATTTCCGTTCCATTTTCCCCTGAAAATGAATAGAAAACCAGAAAATTCCGGTAAATATATTCTTGAATTTTCAGGACAATGACACTAAATGCGATTTAGGGGGAAAAAATCATGAAATTTCAGATTTCACTGAAAATTCACTGAATCTTCATATTAGATTGGAAATTCAAATAAATTAAGGCATTCTTGTCTTTATGCCGTTTAACATTCTGGAGTTTCACTGAATTTTCAGTGACACCTGAAATTTCTCGATTTTTTCCCCTAAATCGCATACAGTGTCACTGTCATTTCATTTTTTCTCATTTTTTCTCATTTTTTTTCTAAAAGTGTGAAGCACCAAAATTGGATTTTGCACAAAAAACCCAACGGCGCATATATCTCGAAAACGCGTGATTTCCACAAAAAATTCAAATAACCTTTCGTGTAACAGAAAAAAATTCAAACTAAAAGTAGCTTTTGAAATTTTTCCCTATAGTCACTTGATCTGAAGCTAGTTTAACATTTAACGAGCTTTCGAAAATCTACTTGTTACCCTTTACCATTCACTGCTGAATTTCTCTGGACTTTTTCGTCGAAAAATATTTGCGTAACAGTCAATAATGGATGACGGAATGATTCGTTTAGAAATTGAACGAACAGGAAAATCGAATAATTATTTCAGGCACGTTCATCGGAGAGGAAAATCGTAGGTAATTTTGGAGATTGCATACTAGTGCTAATGCAAAACAACTCTTGACCGGTGCTTTTCACCATTTCTCCGGATTCCGAGATGTTCTAAATTTAGTGAGATGCGTTCTCCCGTGTGCGTCCGGGTCAGAGACGGAAGAATTCCGCGAGAATGCCGAGCGTCGACCCACACTGAGACTAACCTTAGACACGTGTGAGCTTATCCTGGCGTGTGGTATGACTCAGCTCTTTGCTATTGTGTGCGCTTAGTACACGGGGGGGATTTTTTTATTGTCTACCGAAATGAGCAGAGATGTATGCAGCCACGCGTAATCCTGGTAGAGCTTCATATGCCACCTCGATTGCCATTGTTACTAAAGAGTTATTGCTCCTCACAATGGAAATGCATACGTCAGATTACAGTCATAAATAAAGCATTTTCATGTTTTGTGTTTGTGAAATGTGGACATTGACGTGCACATTGCAACGGTTGCATTATTAGTTTGCTCTTTCCATAAAACCATATTCCATGGAATTATTCTGACAGATTATTGAGGTAATCCAACTGTCATTTACAGTTTTGTGCTCATTGAACTATAAATAATCACTTCTGCACAGCTGAAGTACAAATTATTGAAATTACGTAAATTAATTGAATTTTAATTAGGCTCTATTCTATTAAGATAATTCTGCATCATCATTTTAATAATGATAGTGTCGAAGAAAAGAGGTAACCCTTGGGATCGTTTAACCCTCAACTTCACTTAACTCTCTTAACTCACTTAACTCTCAAGTTGGAACTCTTGACCCTTGAGGTCATTTGACCCTTATGATCACTTCGTTCGTCCCTCCTGTTTGACCCTTAGCTCCGTTTGATTCTAATAATCACTTTTTCCCGTTGAAAAATGATCGAGGCCATAGGTATCTGACAACAAGCCCACGGAACTAAATATTCAGGAGGCGATAAAAGTGCCGAGTATCTTATAGAGAGGTATCTTATATAAAGTCTCGACTGTTTTACCCATGCTTTTTTTAGAAAGGATACATTGAGCTCATGCTAAGGTATCGCAATTGATATTGGGAATTCCCTTTTGTACTTTGCTGTTTCCAATCTTTCAGCAATGACGTCACCGATTTAATCACAATTGACGACCACTGTGTAAAATATCCACGTGGTCCAGTCACTTGGAAACTATGGAAAGTGATGATGATGTCACAGTCGATTGCTCTCAAACAGCCGATAATCACGAAGACAAATTATGGCGCTATTTACAATGGTTGAGGGCCGAGAGAGAGGGATAAAAGAGGTTTCACGGAAATTCTCACGGGTCGTCGACTTCCTCATCGACTGCCTCAATAATAAATACGGCAACAGTCTCCTGCGTGACGATATGCATATGACGTGCTCAGTGGGACGTACGTGGAGATCACGTACTGATATGTTGATGTTTTTTTCTCTGCCCAGCTCTCACTCCATTGTGTTGCATGAAATAGCGAACGAGAAAGAAACCCAGAGGATGATTGAATAATCGTCGGAAATCGTGGGCGAGGATAATCGACGCCTATTAATGCCTTTTTGTATGTACATCAGCTCTAGCAAATCAATTGAGATACCGTGGGCCTTCATCTGTTCACTGAGCCTCGTATCGTGGTATCATGTGTACAACGATAACGGACGATAATATTACACGGGGAGAAAATTTTAAGTCTAAAAAATACCACACTCTCTCATTAATCGCGGAACATTTTATTGACAGATAAAAAAACAGAGAAATAGTATATTCAGCAACAAGGGCGGAAAGTCATGTTTTCCGCGCACGAAGTGCACACGCTACTTTAACCCTAGTTTGGTCACAATAGGAGGGAAACGCCGCAGAAGGTCGATTTTTTTTTCTTACCATTGATTGGCTGAGCGGAAAAATGCTAAAAAATTGGAATGCGTCAATTCAAGTGTCTAGAAAATTATAATATTTTTTAAAATTATTTATATCCACAATTCCTGAAGAAAAAAAATTATTTCTAACAGACGGGCAATTTTTTCCCATGTTAAATGAAATTGCCCGTTGTGCAACGTTGCCGAAGTCTCGCTAAACGCGCCCGGGCAGTATAGAGTGAATTCGGCAACGTTCGGGCCTAAATAACACGGCGGCGATTCCCTGCGGAGGTGACCAAAGTCGCAAGTTCTCATATGGTGACCAAACTAGGGTTAAGGATAATCGAACGAGGAGTAAGATATTCAAAAAATGCAGCCAATTGTATGAAGATATTTTCACACATTTCTGAATCCATATACCACCGTTTGTAAAATTTGAGAAATCCCAAAAGGATGTGTTAGATTTTTCGTTGAAAAATACTTAACAAAAATTAATCTTTGGTTGGTTTGAATACGTCTTTGTACGTTTTATATTTCTTTCATCTCTTGTGTTTCCACTTCACATCGAAGAACATTTTTAAAGTGTGAAAATTCCGAGAAATTTGAGGCATGATGTTTATGCTCTGTTTTTCTAGCTTAAGCACAATGCATGAGTGGGACCTTTTGAATGTGAGTCATCAGGTCCAGGGTGTTGGATCCCTTTTGTCAATATAGTTAGTTCCTCTGAGGAAATGGTACTGAGCGGATGTGTCTTCCAAGCGTATAAAATAAAGGAAAATTCTGTTCACTTATTTACCAGTATAGTTATTTAAAATTACCCCATTTCCAATAGGATGCAACAAC